ACATGAAACCACACTGATACCATCGCCTTGAAAGGCACCTCACAAATGTCTCCTGCAGGGCTGGCGGTCACCCTGTTGACGGCTGCCCCAAAGCCCTGCTCCAGCAGGACGTGGCCCAGTGGGGCTGCCAGCCCAGGGAAAGTCTCCCAGTGTCAATTTCCTGGATTTCCTTGCTGGCCATGCAGCACTCAGGCGGGTTGGTGACACCTTGGAATTCCAGAACCGCGGGAGGCTGCACCCCTATAGGCCCTGCAGGACGACCATGGAATCCCAGAGCTGAGTGGAAGCAGCATCCCAGGGCAGAAGGAGGACAGGGAGCTGGGAGGAGCCTGTGACCCGCACCCACCCAGGGAAGCTGGTCAGGGTGGCTGAAGCGCTGGAAGTCAGCAGCGAAGCTGGAGGACTTGACGGCCTTCAGGACAAGCTAGTGCCTAAAGAAGGCGGCCTGGGCTGGGCTTCAGGAAGAGGCTAGAGGGCATCGCCTGGACCCTCCTCACTGTAGGAAGACAGGTGGACCCCATCTCCCCGTCACGTCCGCTTCCTGTGTACTGGGCACACAGCAGCTGCACACAGGCCTCTCCAGAGACGTTTGCCCTCGGGCAAAAAGACCGGATCCCGTGCCCCTCCCCCCAATCCTTAAGGAGTCTGGAAATGCCTGACCTAGAGACCCTCCCCAACACGTAATTGGCCTTTGCTGTAACAGAATCACCACAAGGGGGTGGCTTAGACAAACACTTTTATTTCCTTTCCCGTTCCAACAGGACAGAAATTCAGGAAATGGAAGACAATTACAGTGTAAAGTCGAAGCTTATTGAAATACAGTTTTTCTCTGGGTAAACGTCCCGCTCTAACCAGTCCAACTCCAGTCCTAGGTTCCCCAGGATCTGATTCAGCTGGTAGAGCCAATTCCGCACAGTCATCCTGTCTATGGTTCTCGTTCCTCCGCAGCTCACATAGCACTCCCGAGGGAGCGGCATCTCCAGCATCGTGATCTTGTTCTGAGGGACAGTGCGCAGCAGCAGGCTCTGCAGGACGTCCATGGAGAGCGAGTTTCCACAGAACCTGAGGAAATCGAGCTGGGAGCAGCGGCCCAGGGCAGGGAGGATGGCTGTGAACTCGGTGTCAGTCATGCCACAGCCCCTCAAATCCAGTTCTTTCAGGGTGCCTGAGATTCTCTCCAGCAGAATGTTGAGGAACCCAGCATCTACGCCTACCATCTCCACGTTTCTGAGATGCAGCTTACTCAGGTGGCCGGTGCTCAAACACCTGGACAAGTATTCCAAGTCAGATCCTGTTATACAAGAATCAGTAAGGCCGAGGCTCTCTAGTGGGGCCTCCAGGTGCCTGAAGACCTGATGAAATTGGCCAAGAAGAGAGCTGGTTACGCATATGTGGAGGTGGCGGAGATGCTGCAGGTGTACTAATGCGCTGGAGAAATGAGCACACAGCCACGTTACCGCTGTTGCCTCCCAATGGGTCCAGTGGTGAAGAGAAGCTTCACCAAAGTATAAGCTCTTGAGATGAACCATCTTCCGAAGGTATTCAGTAAATTTAGTGATGTATTTCATTTCCCAGTGGCAGTGGACTTCTACCTCCTCCACACAGTCCAGGTGTACCTTATCAAAGATCTTTTTGATAATGTGAAATCTCAATGGCTCAAAAATAAACTGTAGCCTCCTACAGCACAGTTGGGGTAGTAGTTTCTTCTCGTTGACCCTCTTCACAAGGAAAGTGAGCAATTCATCTGGAGAGGGCTCCGTGAAGCACAGGTCCGACAGCAGCACCAGCACTCCCGCGGCAGCCGAGTGCTGCGTCTCCTCCTTTGTGCAGGAAGCCCCCACTCTGCGCCTCTGTGGGCTGGGCTGCGCAGCCCCACTCTCACATGAGGGGCTCGCTGAGACCTCATCCCCAGGCCCAGCCCACACATGCCAGAAGTTGGTCCCAGCGTCGCTTCTGAGGTCCAGTACTTGGAGTTTCCAACTTGTAGGTCGAAAATCACGGACAAGGAGAGCATCGATGCCATTGAGGGCCGCCTTCAAGATGTCCTGATCACACTGCAGAGT